TCCCCCCCCCCCGGCTGCTTCCTCTCCTCACTTTGCATCTCTGAGGCCAGCCGCAGACTCTGCGCCCTGAGAACGAGAAGGGCTGCAGCAAAGGTGGTGGGTAGAAAAAAAGAAGTGGTTGTATAAGGGAACGAAAGAAGGAAACAGGCCCAGGCAGCTGCGTGGGGAAGGCAGGGTGGGGGAAGTCTGGCTCTGCCCAGGTGCCAGGCGCAATGCAAGCATCCTCAGCGGGTGCTGAGCACCCACCAGGTTGGTGCTGGCTCTGAGCTCTCCTCTCCCACCCAGCGAGAACGTGGCGGCCAACTCCACCTTCTCCAAAACGTACTCCGTCACCCCCACGCTCTCGGCCAACCGTGAGAAGCGAGGCCTCGCTCTCGATGGCAAGCTCAAGCACGAGGACACCAACCTGGCCTCCACCACCATGTAAGAGCCAGGCGGGCTCCCCCCGCTCCCTGCCACGGCCGGACTCATGCCTTCCCCTTCTTCAACAGCTTCCTGCTGCTCAGGATGCTCTGGACTCCCACCAAGGGTCCCCCACACCTCCTGTGCCTGAGCCCACCCCATCCAGCTGGAAAATGTAGGGATTCTGAGACATGGCCACAGACCCACCTCTCCATCTCGTGGTAGAGATGTAGCTTCCCAGTCCCAACCATCATCCAAAGCCCCTGTACCCCTCTGCAGAGCTGCATCGCATCTCATCTCAGGAGTAAATCCCAGCTCAGGCAGCTCACGTGGCCTCCAGAAACTGCTCCGTGGCTTCAGCCAAGTGATCTGCCCTCCCCGCTCTTTTACTGCCACGTTGTGTTGTCCTCTCCTGCTAAACCCCAGCGCACCCCACACGAAACGGGGCAGGGAAACAGTCCCAGGAGCTGCCATGGGGGGACTGGACGGGGTCTGCAGGCAGCACTGCCCACCTCACCGCTCCGCTCTGCCTTTCTCCTAGCCTGAGACCCGGCATGGACAAGGAGGTGCTGGGCATCCTGGTGTCCTACAAAGTGAAGGTCAACCTGGTGGTGTCCCGAGGAGGGTGAGGCTCTGCGGGTGAGGGGGGAGGGACGGTCCCCTTGGGGTGTGCTCTGGGATCTTGTACCACCAGGCAGGTGACAAAGGGACTCATGCCGTGGGTCTCCTCGTCCCTGCCCCGCTCCCCCAGGCCGTGGAGCAGCCCGGCGCTGGGCTGCTCTCTGACTCCCGCACCTCCACCCCCATTATAAATCATCTTCTACCTTATTATAAAGCAAAGTCTTACGCCTCCCCTCCTCTGCCTTGGCTGATTTCTGTCCCTTCTCTCCCGCTGCCACAGCATCCTGGGGGATCTCACTTCCAGGTAAGGAGGGAGCTGCCTGCGGGGCCGAGCACGGTGCGGCACTGGGCGGGTATATTGAAAGAATAAACTTTTCCTTCCAGCGATGTTGGGGTCGAGCTGCCTGTCATGCTGATGCACCCGAAGCCTGCGGACGGTAAGTAGTGTCTGGGATGCTGCCAAAACTCTGGGCAGGAAGAGGCAGACCCTGTGCAGGGGAAACTGGTAAAAGCAATGCTGATGCAGCCGCCTCCGTGCAAACGGGAGATGTTAGTTGCAATGTCCTTCCTGTATTAACCTGCACGTCTGTCTCTCTCCCAATCCTCGCCTCCCGGTGCTTTGCTTGTCAATGGACTACAGATAAGCCAAGGTAAAGAGACGTTTCCTTATACCTCAAGCCACTGTTTCCTCTAACACACAAACTGTACAGATCCATCGCAGATGGATGTGATGCCCCGTTTCAGCTTGAGGTTACATCCTTGGATTAAATCATCCAGGCCTCAAAGTCCTGAGCCCCCGTGTCACAGCAGACAGCACAACAGCCCCCACAGCGGCACAGGCAGCAGGAGTGTTGTCACAGGCTGGGGGGATTCAGATGCTGGGCTCGGCACGTGTTCTGCAAATTTCCAGGGCTTATTTTACAATCCCCCTTGCTGCAAACATAGCGGCCTCTCCTGCTGCGAGCCCAGGTCTCGCCGTGTCCCTCGGACGCAGCCGGCAGTACTGTGTCTCCCAGTCACGAGTGCCGCCACCGGACATAACGTCCCCTATGGCTTTGGTCCCCATCCGTCCTGAGGTCTCTTGCTTGCTGAAATCAGCGCCGGCCACAGCCCCGTGCCCCCGCACGCTCCCCGGTGCCAGAGCCTTCTCCTCCTCCCACCACACGAGCGTATTCCAGCTGGAGCCACAGCTGGGGTTGCTTCCCCCCGGGAAGCCGCAGCGTGCCAAACCCACGCCCGTCCCTGCCACCCGTGGCCGCCAACCAGCCCCGCAGCCGGCCCTGGCTTGCGAAGGCCCAAGAGGCTGTTTTTGTGTCTGGTTACACTCTGAAACGGGACACGAGCACTGGGAGCTGGAGTCTGGAAACTCGGGCTGCAACTGCAGGGCTTTCACACCAAAGCCTTTCAGTTTCCCAGCTCAACGAGGATATTTAAACTTCCAGAGGAGGAAATCTCTTGGCCCGCCCCCACCATCGCTCCCTGTAGATTTTGCCAAGTCATTTCACATTCACAAGCTTTTGGAATCAGTTTTGCTGACTCTTTTTTTCCATTTTCTTCCCCCACTTTTCATTTTGTGGCTCTCCCTTGATGTCATCCACCACTCGCCTTTCGCAAGGAGGTAACTAATCTCTTTGTCTCCACTTTAATTTCTTTTCCTTCCCTTTTTTCCCTTGACAATGCAAAATATCGTCTTAAAAAACGCCGAAAGTTGCAGTTG